AACTTCATTTGGACAGCTTTAAAGGGGATTTTCTCAATATTTAGATTTTTTTGCACCCTCAGATTCCAGATTTTCAAATAGTTGTATCTCGGCCAAATATAATAAAAACAAACCATACATCAATGGAAAGCTTATTTATTCAGCTTTCAGCTGATGTATAAAACTCAATTTCGAAAAATTGACCCTTATGACTGGTTTTGTGCTCCAGGGTCACATTTATATTCTGTGTGGATCTGAATATACGCTCCAGTATGAGATTCTATACAAAATACTATTATACCTCCATGGTTTTTACAGTAGAGCCATCATACTGGATTTATAGTGAATGTGCTAATCATTCTGATACAGTATTTTCCTGAGGTTATGTAATATTTTAGCATGTGTGTGATGGCAGGAGAGCAGGCGGGTGAAGAGAGCATCACACAGATCCTGAAGAAAGCTCACGACAGCAGAAAGACGGCAGAAAACGCCGCTAAAGACCTTCTGACGCGACTAGACGGCAGCTGCGGCGCTGCGTTTGCCGTTACCAGCTGCAGCGTTCAGCCCTGGGAGAGTCTCTCATCCAACAGCCACACCAGGTAAACAACTCAAATATTTCATCTGTTTTACTAAGTGCTTTATTTTGATTGTTGCTATTTTAAAATGATGTAATTTTTCATTAGTTTAATTAATTATTAACTTTAATTAAAGTTATGGGAAACCTTGATGTGATTTAATGTTTGATGCACGTCATGTTGTTAATAACAATGAATGGAATACGTTTTCTTTCTCTTTGTATTTTTTATATCAATGTGGTACAAGATTATCTTATTTAAATCAATGTGATAAACGAGTTAGGGCAAAAGTAATCCAAAAGTAGTCTGATTATCTAAAATGTGTAATGTAATAGATATCACCTGGTGTGGCTGGCTATATAGCCAATAAAAAATAAATAAATAAAGATAAATAAATAATATATTTTTATTTATATTATTATATAAATAATATATTTTAATAAATATATTTATTTTATATATTAACAATTGAAATAATTGTACATAAATTTAAAGCATATGTAAAAAAAAATCAACTATTTATAATAATTATTTTAATTATATAGAATTTCTTGCAGCCACAGAAGGTAAGAGCGTTTACATAATAATAGAAATGATTCCATGTTTTTTAATTAATATTTATTTATTTTTCAATTTCGTTTTATTTCACACACACACACGTACATATATATATATATATATACACACACACACACACACACACAGTAGACATCAAAATTACAGAAGTTAACAGAAGGAGAATGGCAGTTTTTTAAGCATATTTCATAAATTAATTGTATTCTGAAGCATAGTGTAAAAAACTTAAATTAGATATATAT